TATGTCCTCTGGAGGAGATCTAGAGGGGCAGCTGAATTGTGACCTTTGACATTTTATAGGTTTGAATGGAATGCATTAATTATTATTTGAACGATTTTGGAGGGTCAATATTTATTACTGTTTGTTAGTTAGCCATCACAAAACGTTTTACAGCACTAATAACGATACATTATGAATGATTATAATGATAATAGCTGATGAACAACAATAATAATATAAAAAATAATGACATTTTAGACACAAACGAATATCACTTGCGATATTATTTTCGATACTTAATCTGCAATGAGTAATATATTTAGCATTAACAATAATAATGGTATAAAGTAATAGTAGTAATAACAACAATAACAATAATGTCATGTTAAAAAGTACTCATAAAATTCAGTAAATAACTGTGCTTTGCATAAATATGTTGATAATTGAATTAATCATATGGATTTTATTTTTAAAACATTCAAATTTCTAAATTTATTAAAGAAAAGCAGCCACCGCCCCTATTCATGTTTTTTTTCTTGTCTTGATTTAATATAATGTTGTGTTGCATTTAGAAAGTTCATTATAAAAAAAAAATATGTTGATAATGAGTTTATCAATGTTGCTAAAAAGAGTACTGCTGCTTAATTCGTTTCTTTTTATTTGTTTTAATTTGTGAAAGATATGTGATGATGGTGGTGATTATGATGGCACTCTGTTATCATAATGCTGTATGACTGAAGTGTGATGGTGCTGGTGCATCTTATATGTGATTGAGTAATTGGTTTTCGACCTTGTAATTTTTTAGATCTGGCAGCAGCGAGATAGATTTGATCACTGATCTTTTCTAATGTGGGAGGTGGAGGAAATATATATTAAGAGAGTAAGCAGGGCAAAAGTTTATGCAAAAATGTTGTACAATAGAGAGGAGGGGTGGGGGAGGGGTGGAGCAAAGTTATATGAAAAATAAGTTGATGCCAAAATGACAAGTCAAGGTGAAATCGCTATTCAGAATTTAAGAAAAGGTTCATAATTCATAGGCCTTTGGGCCATTTTTAGCATATTATTGTTGTAAGTAGTAATACTATTATTGTTATTGTTGTTATCAGCTTTCATCATTTTAATTATCGTTATCATTATTGTAAAAATTTCTGTTGATGGCCAATCAACAAAGAGTAATTAGCATATTTTGTAAGTCATTGCTCATGAAAAAACATTGACCCTCCAATATATCGTTCAAATGGCACAAATAATAATGCATCCCATGCAAAACCTATATGGATGTCAAAGTTAACAAGTTGCCCCTCTAGTCCTCATTCGGAGGACAGAGTATGTATGATCGAATCTCTTTGAGTGCAAGTTAGAAAAACGCCCACTCCCGGCGAAATTAATATCTGCTTTTTGATATAAACTCTGTTTATCGCCGATATTCAGTGTTTAATTTATCGAGAGAAACTATTTTTATCGAGTGATAAACATAGTTTTTCTCGATAAACAGTGTTTATCGCTTGATATATATTGTTTTTCGGAGTTAAACAGTGTTTATCTGAGTTATTGGTTAAACGGCGCGCCATATACGGTACGTGTTTGTGCAAAGTTTGCAATCTATAACTAGACGTTTGTTTGGCGCTCATGCTTCAATAACTGCATGTTAGCCTACTGTGTTCTCTTGAGAGTCAGTAGTAAGTGAAGTTAAATATTTGTGAATTTTAATGTTTTTTTTGTGAAATGCAAAATGCATTATAAAATCATGGACATAGAAGTCAAAATCAGTTAATATAGGAAAGCTGAAGTCATGTATTTTTGAGTCTGAGATTCAATTTTCTTTTTGTTATTCAATTAGGCCTGGGGTGTCTGATCGCGCACTCAGTTTTGGGTGCCAATATACAAATGTGCACAGGTATTTGAGTGCGTTGGTAGGAAATGTGTGCACAATTAGGTACCTTTGAATGGTTTAAACCCACGAGGCGCAGCCAAGTGGGTTTTAGATCAAATTCAAAGGTACCACGTGCACACAATTTCACTGACCCACGAATTAAACCTGTGCATCATCTGTTTTATAAAATGGGGCCCCCAAAATCGTCAAAAATACAAAAATCTGTTATTTTACAAATTTACCGGGTGCATGGCAAATCATGCTTTCCGGTAATTACCGGACGCATGATTTTGCCATAGATCTAGGTCTAGATCTAGATTCTAGGCCTAGATCTAGATCTATACCCATCCTAGACCTAGATCTAGAGTCTGGATCTAGGCTAGACGGAATTTTCCGTCTCTTTCGTTCGTTAAGCCTCTTAGTCAGCTTAGAGATCTAGACTCTAGACCTAGTCTTATGTGGGTAGGGTCGGCTCTAGGTCTACCCAAATAAGAGGCTTAACGAACGAAAGAGACAGAAAATTTGGTCTAGATCTAACGTCACCTACCGTTTAGTCGCCACTCCATTGATTCGCCACATGCTACGTCATATACACTCGACACCTATCCACACAAAATTAAGAGCCGCGTAGGTCTCAAAGACTAGGTAAGTAAAAAGTTAAGAAATATCGCTACGCCTTGGTGCCTCGTCCTTTTTTAGTGGGCGGGAATAATTTATGCCGTAGGCGGGTACCGTTTGTGTATTATGCATACACACATACGACACACACAACGGGCGCTGGGCGACAGTCTAGACGACTTCCGGTCTCTCACAGCCGTGAACCCCATATTCCAATGTGAGTACTGAATACCTATTATCATATTATAATTGAATACCCCTGGCACGGTTTTTATTCCATTCTTGATTACTGAGACCTCCCAAATAAGGAGAAAGTGGGAGTGGCAGATTAACAATGGCTCGTGCTTCAGTCATTGGCGAATCAACGATAGTGTTGGCGAATGCTGATCTGCGTGCATTTACTATGCATTAATAATAATAATAATAATAATAATAATAATAATAATAGCCTAATAGTCCACTCCAAATTTTATTAAACCGAAACGGAAATTCTTTTTGCCCAATTTATCGTGAGCCCGGCAGCCACTGAGCAGCGCCAGATCGACGTTGCTCTATCCCTATCTCTATCTCTATTACGTTGTAGTCATTCATGCAGTGCAGTATATGTTGGGCATTTGAGCTTGCCTATTTTTGTATGGGGTGCTCACGTAATTTATAGAATGTTTTTATCCATTTCAATGATATTAAGTCAAATATTATTGGGCCTAATTTAATGTCCATCTCACGATTTGTGTGAATAATAAAGAAATATGGATATTATAGACGACTGAATGGAATAAATTTGTGCCTCATAATTGGAAGTTTATAAAATTGTGTTAATACAGAAGTGAACTCTGTGAATGTGCGTGTGATCGGTGATGATATCGAATGAGGGATTAATGGGGGGGGGGGGCGGGGGAGGGGGCGGGGTATAGGTAGGGTATTTTTTTTTACAACAGTGGAACTTGGTGAAAGCGTGTGATTACTAGTTTATCTTCAAGGACAGGTTTTAGATGTGGATTAATTATATTTCAGGACGCAGATAGTGATGGAATTATAAAAAATATGTGCGTGAAAGGTTTTTTTTTAGGGAAAGGGAATTATGAAAGTTACAAATGGATATTAATAATGCAAGTATAATATTGTCTTCTGTACAGGTGAAGCTGTAACCCTTACAGGCGTCTGGCCTTTTCCTTTGGCGTAACTGTTAGGTCTTTATGCCAAGTATTAAAGCCAGTTGATAGACCCTCATTGATTGGATTTCACATTTCCCCTTTCAGGTAGGATGGAGTATGCCATACATATTTCAGTATATTGCTGCTAAATGGAAAATGATTTACCCACTTGCTTCCAAAATTCATATTCGGTTTCTAATTTTCCACCATCATTAGATTGAGTCACGAGACTCGTCCATATCAATTTAATTATTTTGGAACTGGATGAAATGCATTCAAATTCTACAAAATATACTCTTCTATCAATATTATACATCATGTAATTAATTTTCAATTTATATGAATAGTTATTAACTAGACAAGCTTAACCTTATAATTTAATCTTTTTAATAAGCTCCTCATTTCATACGTCATATACAAAATTGTCTTTCCTGTAATTGTGCCTGTTACAGTTGGCAATTTTGTTAAACTTGGTCTAGATACATTTATCAATATAATTTTCATATTCAATTCCGTAAGAAGAAAATCTTAATGTTCAATCATGTAGTTATTATCCATACTATAATGTTTGTTTCATAACATGAATAAAAACAAATAGAACTAATTTAATTTTCATCTGGTATTTTTTTGATGAAATCTTGTATTTGACACATATCGTATGAGAGACCGTTGAGACATTGGTGATTGATGGGTGTAGAAATATGCTCAAGCTGACCATCGCATCACTTTGAGGAATTTAGTTACTGGTTAGGTTAGAGGATTATACCCTCTTTGCCTTTACTATACTGTGTTGGGCAGCACGTGACTACAGTTGTCTAAACTAGTCTCATTGTGGTAGATGTATCTTTCCTCTTTGATATATTATTACAGATGACTGTACACGCACCTTTCCCTGAAGTGTCTGTACTATTCTCTCATTTTGTTTCGAATTCTATCCCATAATCATATTGCTGTTAAGTTAAAATGTCAAAATGCATTATTTTTCTCTTTCAGCTGCATGTCTTTAACGCATTCTGTGTTCTTTCTTTTTCGTCTCAATCTTTTCTTTCATGAATATATTTTTATTTCTATATGCTTTTCAATATATTATTTTGAAAAAAAAATTCACCTTTTTATTATATTGAGTTTCACCGTTTATTATTTCTCTATTTGGCTGATACCCTTTCAACATACAATTTATTTTTGCTGGTGATTGCATACTTAAACCTTCAGCCATGCCTGGCAAAAGGACTTCTAAGTACAGGTCATGGTCAGCCGAGGACATGCAAATTGCATATGATGACGTTACACAGCATGGAATCCCCATTTCTGTCGCGGCAAGGGACAATAATGTTCCTAGAAGGTCTCTTGGCGACAGGGTGCACGGAAAAGTAAAGATGGATGCCAGAATGGGAGCAGCTACGAAATTGCCCGAAGCGTTAGAAAGGGATTTGATTACTGTCATCGACTACATGGCATCAAAGGCCATACCGATGACAATAAATCAAATCATGCTACAGGCATGGGTACTTGATAAGAAGTGCGATGGAAAAAAGTTTGGCGTGAACGGCCCAAGTTACAACTGGTGGATTCGATTTAGAAAGGCATATCCAGAGACTGCCCTCAAGCTGAGGAGGCCCGATAGGCTAGACAGGGCAAGGATCACAAGCTCAACGGTAGACAATCTCCGGGAGTACTTCCAGCTTCTAAAGGGCATTTTGCATCAGTATAATTTAATGGACAAGCCCGAGAGGATCTACAACGCTGATGAAACGATGGTAGATCTGAACAAATCAACGCAGAGGGTGGTGGTGCCTTCAAGACACAGGCATGCTCATTCAACGACTGTGGCTGGAAGCCAGCATGTTTCAATGATGTGTTGTGTTTCTGCATCAGGTGCAGTTATGCCACCTAATATTATATTCAAGGATGCTTTCCCAGGTGGAGACTATACGAGAGACGGGCCTGACAACTGTCTATACTCCAAGTCGGACAGCGGGTTCATTGACGGGGAGTTGATGAGAGGCTGGTTTCAAAAAGTATTCCTCAAACACTACCCACAGGACCGAAGTGAAGATAACCCAGTGCTACTGATTCAAGACGGCCACGCCTCGCATCATGACCCGCTGCTCATCCTCATACAAGTCCTTAAAGAGTAACATCGGGCGCTTCATTAAGATTGGACAGGCTCTGCGAGGATCGCTTTGGATCCCGAAGAAGGAGTTCCCAAGGCTGCTGAGAACGCCATTTGAGAAGTCGATGACCATCCACAACATAAAGCAGGGTTTCAGGAAATGTGGAATTTACCCGTTCAACCCTAATGCTATCGACAAGGATCAGCTCGTGAGATCTAGGTTGATACCCTCGACAGATGTGGATTTGGCGGCCCCTCCTGTGTACAGGTATGCGGATGCTGCCACTCAGGTTGAGGTAGGTGATCCGGCAGTGCAAGTACCAGTACAAGTGCCAGTAGAAAAGCCAGAACAAGTTCCAGTGCGAAGACAAGGCAGACAGCTTGTAGTTGCAGAAGTACACAGGGGTCAAAATCAAGAAGACTTAGATGACCAAACAGAACAAGAGCAACACGAACAACCAGAACCAGAACATGAGGAAATTCAGGTAGAGCGTCCTGCACGCAGCGATGTATATGAGAACCCCCTTGTAAAGTTTGGTGTAGTTTCACCCGAGGTCGCTGAAGTCTTCTACCCTGCAGAGGAAGTAATTCCAGCTGGTAGAAAGGTCGCTGTGAGGGGAAGAAGCAAAGCCCGCATCCTTACTTCTGCAGAAGCCAAGGAACATTACATTGAAGAACTACGACGAGTCAAAGAAGCAAAGAAAAAAAAAACAGGACGCTAAACATGTTTTTTTTTTTTTTATTCGGCCTTAGTGTGTGTTTTTGATATTGATAGTAGTTGACCATAAATGTATCATATTGCTTATTTGATATTGTGTTTTGGTTTTTTTATTTGTAGATGTCTGCACCACGTAAGTTCCAGGTAGTCGAGGTGATGATGATGCGAAACTTAAGAAGTGGAGAAAAGTTTTACCGCATGGCAGTAATTGAGAAGAATGGCGATTCGGTACATGAGCTTTATTGTCAAGCACAATGTGAGACATCAGTGAGGAAGTTATCAAGTCTGGAGGCAGGTACCAGTTTTGCTGGGGGCCCTTTTAAGGGCAAAGGTGACTTGAATGTTACAAATGACACTGTGGTAAGTGATTTATTATTATTACCTCTTTTGTATTTAAAAGTTAATTCTTTAAACAACATATTGCCAAGATATATTCATTAGTGTGAATGTTTTTCCTTTCCTTTACTTTATGTGATGTGCCTAAAGGGTGTGGCAGATTTTAAATATGATTTGCCTGTGCAAGATTATTGTTTTTCCATAAGGACTCTAGTTCAATGGGAAATGTTTTACAAATATTCAGAAAGGAAGTCATTTACAAAGACAGGATTTTTATATTGTGTACATGTTGAAAAGGCATTTGTGGATATGTATGACATGATTTTGAAACATAAAATGGTTTTTAACCCTTTCAAGACATTTTTTTTGTTTTTGTTACATTTGTTGTTGAGTTATTGTTTCTGCATTTTTAATAGTATAGGAATACTATCCTTGTTTGAAATTGAAATTTTTTTTTTTTTTTTTTTTACCTATCATATATATTTTTATGCGTTATGGCAGATTATGAAGAAATGTGGGGAATTTGATGTCGATCAACACGCAATTCAAGGGTACACCAATCCAGAGGTGGTTCCATTTGGTGACATACGGACGAGCCCAAAGAAACGGTGGGTTTCCGTTTCAGGGGTTGTGAAAGAAGTAAGTATGAATATTTAAACAGTAATGTAAATTGGTTTTATTTTGAGTTCAATGTTGAATTATAATTATGAAGTTTGTGCAAGTATAAATGTAAATTTTTGTATTTTGGGGGTACTATGTTTGAAAGAGAGATTTGTGGATATTATTGAACTTGTTGCAGGTAATTATACCTTGATGCGATTGTTTATTTGTGGTTTGTACAGAAAGTCTTTTCCTGATTAATAAAAACAAGTGGGATTTTGTGGTCAAAATCTTTTTTAATCTTTTTTTATTGAGGCAGGTACTGCTAGAGAATATGATGGATATAGCAGTGTTATGTTGCTGTTGCTGTACATGTATCTGCTGCTGATGTGTGATATGGTTGTGTGTGCTTTAACAGCTACATTTTTGAATAGTTTTATTTGAAATTTGGTATGATGGTGTATCTTGGTTAAATACATATATTCCTATCGTATTTGGTGGTATTGTTTGCAATGTGTCTTTTACAGGGTGAGAGGTGGAATTTTTTACTTTTGATTGACATACGTAATTTTGGTATCCTCAGTTTGGATTTGTTTATAGTTTAGTATGAAGGTGTGCTTTGGTAGATTTTATAAGCTATATTATTTTTTGTGGTGCTGCCTTCAGTGTTCCATCTTTTATAGGGTGAAAGGCAAGCTTTTTATTAAGACAAAGCAGAACAGGAGCCAAATACCTGAAAAAGCAACTCCCGGTCCTTAATTTTTTTTAAAGAACCAGGAGCCGTTTTCCAGGACCTGGAGCCGTTACCAAAATTAATGAAAATATGTATTCTTTTAAATCATTTGTTAACCGTTACCTTATTTATTATTCTATGTCATTAGTCTATATCAGTACACTGTAAATTAACTCTGTAAGTTGGGGCTTTAATCAGATCACAAAGGGGGAAATACACAACATTTTAAAAAATTTAAAAAAAAACTAGAATTTAATTCGTCACGAGGACGAATAAGGTAGTCTGTCTTCAAGTCTTATAATAGATTATAATATTTACTATATTGAAAAAGGGAGAAGTTATATAGACATGTAAACAATGACGATCATGATGATGATCATGATGAGGATGATCTTGATAATAATGGTGATGACGATGTTGATGATGATGATGATCATCAACAGACCATGATGACATCTGATTGAAAAAAATGAGGGGACATTTAGATAGCATATAGTCTCAGCTACAACATACTCCAAAATCAACAAAAACCAAGCCGAAATAACGGCAATATTGCTCGCAAAAGACAGGAATGTAGAATCCAGATTTGAGAAAAAGTCATCTCCCATAGGGACTACACGCAAAAAGTAATGGATCAAGTGATAATAGGGGAATAATAAAGTAAATATGGTTGTTTATAACATTATTTGTGATTCTACATGTTTTAATAAGCAAAGGAAAAGGTACAGTGAAAGGTCAAAAAGAAAAAAAAAGTGAAGAAAAAAAATTGTTGGAGACGCCCCGACTCGAACCAGGGACCTCGAGGTCGGAAGATTGGGGGGGGGGGGGGGGGGGACTTGAGTTTTATGCTTTTCCCCCGTTCTGTATCATTAATAAGTGTCTCCAGAAAGTTGTGGAGGATGAGGCAGAAGGGATATTGATAGTCCCAAAATGGGCGTCACAATCGTGGTTCCCGAGGTTATTACAATTATTAATTGATGTGCCTACTGTTTTGCCGCAGAGTGAGCATACATTAATCCAAACAGAAACCGGGAAAATTCACCCCCTATGCAACAAACTGTTCCTACTTGCTTGCAGATTATCATGGAATCGCTCCAGGCAAGAGGCATTCCGGAATCAGCTCGACCCATCATATTGGCGTCATGCTGGAGGCAATCCACCAGAAAACAGTACATCTCCTACATTAGGCAATGGATTCACTTTTGTCACAGACGGTCGACTGATCCGTTGCAGACGCATGTCGGTGAGGTTTTAGATTTCTTAACAAACCTGATGGAGAGTGGAATTGGATATAGTGCTATAAACACAGCTAAATGTGCTATTGATAGCTATGCTCTTTTTCAAGAAGGGCAATCCTTGAAGGACAACCAAATGGTGGCAAGGTTCATGAAGGGAGTTTTAAATCTGAAACCACCAAGACCTCGGTATTCTGACATTTGGGATGTTGGACAAGTGTTGGACTACATTCGCTCTATTCCAGTAGATGCTGACATTTCACTACAAGATTTAACTCTGAAACTCTGTATGCTGATACTTTTGTTATCAGCACAGCGCGTACAAACGCTTCACCTCTTGAGAATAGACAACTTAGACTTGCTGGACGACAGCGCAAGATTCAATGTAACAGATTTGTTGAAGCAGAGTCGCCCGGGAAACTGTGGTGTAACGATCTGCTTGAAAGAGTACCCGTTTGATAAGCGACTGTGTGTAGTGCAGACTTAAAGGCTGTATTTGACAAAGACAGGATCGCTTCGAGAAGAGAAACGCCTTTTCATAAGTTACAAGAGACCTCACCGTTCAGTATCAAAAGACACTATAGCCCGTTGGGCAAAGGAGGGTTTGGTGCGTTCAGGAATTAACATTGCGAAATACAAGCCTCATTCTACAAGAGCAGCTTCAACGTCCGCAGCAGAAGTGAGGCATGTCCCCATCTGTGATATTATGTTGATGGCCGGCTGGTCATCGGAGAACACCTTCCATAATAACAAGCCGCTTATAGAAAAACATGTTGACAATTTCCAAAGGGCTGTATTGGAAGCTTGACTTTCGGAGGTATAAGTAGTCGTTGACTGACCAAAGATTAGAATCATGATGTACGAATTAGGGCCTAAGAAAAGGCCAGTTTTTTATGCAACTCATGCATGGTTGGGTGACATTTTTCTATTATTCTGGCATGTTCTCAGATATCGTCGCGGACTTTACGCGAACCGGCGAATAGTCAAATTTCAATGTAATTTTTACATATTTTGATAGTGCTTACAAGGATGTTTCAAAATGCCAAATTTCAGGACATAACAGTGAATATTACTGAAATTATCAATGTTTTTGTATATTGACCATGTCCTAAATTTACCAAAAGTGAAAAAAGGGGTTTTACGAACCGGCGAATAAAATATTCGTCGGTTCGTAAAAACCGATGGGATGCGCGGCGCTGTAGTGTACTATGCGTTATCGACTACACTTAACTAGAAAAACTCGCGGGTTTTACGAAGCGACGAAAATACAGTATTTCGTTACTGTATCGTCTGCAGAGCATGAAACATTTTTAGGTGGTCTGTCAACGACAGATCACCTATTGATTTCGTTAGAATTTTCTTTCTTTATTCTTTCTTTATTCTTTCTTTATTCTTTATTTTTATTTCTTCCATACACTTTTTTGTCCACACGTTTACTCGAAATCAACATGGTCAATTGCCTTCAAATTTCTGTCAGTCATCAAGCCCTATGATTTCAAGTCAAATTAACTTTTTCAAGGTCACTAGGTCATTGTGACGTCATCCAGGCGCCATTTTGTAAAAGTCAGGTCATTATCATATCTCGATAACGAGTCATCAAAAATCAACCATATTTAATATACATCAACTTCAGGTCAAAGTTCAACTAAAAATGTCAACAAATTTCGCGCGCGCACCTCGACGCGCACGTACGCGCGCATCAAAATTGTATAATGCTCCGATTCGTTTAAAATTAATTTTGCATACGTTTCAGGCCATTTTAAGCATTGTCAAAATTTGCGTGCGCGTAATTATGCGCACGCGTTTCCGCGCGTATCCGCGCGTCCTGGCATTTTGCAACATAGAATCGCCAAATTTTTTCTGTTATCATATTTATTACATTTTTCCAAGCATTTTGATACCTTGTTTACCTGTTTCCGACCAGTAATACCGCAATTAGCAGCTGTCAAAGTTGAACGCACGCGCCGACCTGCGCTATCTGTATCCACAATACATGGGCAAAAACATGCCTATACAAAATTCATTTTAACTCTTCAGAATTGATAGATAACCCCCAATTTCTTTCATATTTAAATAGATTATGAGTTGGAGGTATGATTTCATGTCTCATTTGACCCTCAATTAACTCATGACGTCATCATAATGGCCTCCGAACTCAAAATTTCAATTTGCATATTATGACGTCAGCATATTTCTGGAAAATTGACTGTATCTCTGTAAACAATGATCAATTTTCTTCCAAATTTTGATATGATCTAGCTTAGACAATTCTCTACAAATGCAGTCAAAACAATATTTCATTTTGACAAAGGTATCATGGCGTATTTTTGCGATGAAAGGTGGCATGTCAATTTTTCACATTTTGCGTGTATTCTCTATGGGACATGACTTTTTCTCAAAACTGGATTCTACATTCTCGTCTTTCGCGAGCAATATCTCCGTCGTTTTATCTTTATTTACGCTGAGCTTTGAGTTTGTTGTAGCTGAGACAATAAGCTATCATAAGTGTGCCCTTTATTTTTCATTCAGATGCCGGGATCATGCTCATATTTCACTTCCAAAGTGGGATTTGAGAATTCCATTTCCCGTTTACATGTAATCTCTATGGGAAATGTTTTGGTATATCCGTAACGCACTTGACTTCCGACCTCGAGGTCCCTGGTTCGAGTCCGGGCGTCTCCAACAATTTGTTTTCTTCACTTTTTTTTCTTTTTGACCTTTCACTATACCATCTCCTTTGCTCATTAAAACACGTAGAATCGCTAATAATGTAATAAACAACTATATTTACTTTATTATTACCCTATTATCACTTGATCCAATATTTTTTGCGTGTAATCCTTATGGGAGATGACTTTTTCTCAAATCTGGATTCTACATTCTTGTCTTTTGCGAGCAACATCGCCGTTATTTCGGCTTGATTTTTGTTGATTTTTTAGTATGTTGTAGCTGAGACTATATAATATCTAAAATATCGTTGCTGTTTTCACGAAGTGACGGTAGTGAAAAAGAATTGCATTCACTTTGCGTTACGATTTTCCTCACTACTGTCACCTCGTGAAAACAAGGACGAAATGTTCTCTCATTTTTTTCAGTCTGATGTCATCATGGTCTGTTGATGATAATCATCAACATCATCATCATCATCATCATCATCGTAATCACCATTACTATCAAGATCATCATCATCATGATCATCATTGTTTACATGTCTATATAACTTCTCCCTTTCTCAATATAGTAAATATTATAATCTATCATAAGACTTGAAGACAGACCACCTTAATCGTCCTCGTGACGATTTAAATTCTAGTTATTATTTTCTGTTATTTCATCGGAATTGCCTGGAATAAGTTCGTCATTGTAAAAAGGGTGAGCTTTAAATGATTATGTCACATTATTATAGTTTTGATTAACCTCACATTCCAAATTTCAACACTATTAAGACTAAAATATAATATTTTCTTCGCTGATTGAAACAATGTTTGTAGCATGGTCCCAGATGCCTTAATTTATGTTAGTAGGTGCAAGCAATCGGCGCTAATGCTGTTTCGCATTGACATCCGGCGACAGATTAATTACTTAACTTAGGGTTGAGTTTAGATATATAGATCTAAGTTTATGGTTAGGGTAAGGGTAACCTTACGTTACATTAGGTAGCCTTATGTAATCTTAACTCTAACCCTAACTTAGATCTAGATCTAACTTGGATCTATTCTAAGTTTGAAGTTCAAGTCTGAGCCTGGCCTGGGGCCGCCGATTTTTCTAGAAATACAATTTTACATTGTTTTTTGTATGGATCTAACGTTAGACTAAGGTTAAAAGTGTTAAGTTAGTTAGATTCTAAGTAGATCTAGCGTTAGTCTAGTTCTCAAGTTCGATCTAGTTTAGCCTAAGTTAGACTCTAGAGTCTACTTGAGTTAAGTTTAAGCCAGGGCAAGGGACAGGAGATGGATGTAACGTTAACATTAACAGTTACTCACGTAGATCTAACGTTAGATCTATGTTAACTTAACATCTACCAAAGATCCTAGATCTACATCTATGACAAAATGGCATGGGTGAATTCAATTTAATTTGAAATATTTAAAAGAGGGCGATTGACTAACAAAAGTTAGGGTTTAAATCTAACTTAGATCATCTAGTGCAACCTAACATAGATTCCAGATGAACAATAATCTAACGTTAAATCTAAGTTAGATCTAAGTTAGCTTCGTTAGTCAAAGTACTGTGAATAGATTTAGATCTTACTAACTAACGTTAGATCTATATCTAATTTAGATCTGTTAGATCTAACTGTTAAGTTAGTTCCCGCTTAAAATTTAATATCATAGATAGATTTACAACAATAACATCGAGACATTTAAGTTAAATGTCAATGTTGTATCGACGTTGTATCTAATAAAAAGAATTGTATCTATTTGCTTGGAGATCTGATCTAATTTAAGTTAGACCCAGAATATAGATCTAGAAAGTTAAACCTCTACGGGCTCTAGATCTATGAGACTCTGGTCTATTTGTTTTTTTATTTCAAGTGATTTTTTTGTGACATAGATCTAGTCATAGATCTAACGTTAGATGTATGGTCAACTCTTGCCTTGGTAAAATGTCAGGTTTAACTGTTATGTTATGAATTTTTTTTCTTTCTGCTGTTCCCTTATTTTCAGAAATGGATGTGTTGGTAAAGTGGAAGAAAGATGGGAGCCAGAATATTGTCAGTGCTGAAGACCTGCATCTGGATGGGAAGCGCTCAATTAAGAAGGGTGCAACTGTTCAGATGAGGGGGAAGTATTCTTGGTGGAAAGGGACGGTCATCTCCATATTTCAGAGAATTGGTGAAATTATTAGTATGAATAATTCTTTTGTATTAGACAAAATATGAAATTAATATGAAAATCAGTTGCGAAATGTAAGATGATTTAAAATACCATGAAAACAGATCTATTTTGCATAAACAATTTATATGAAAAAGAATTGACAGTGTGAGAGAATGAAGTATAGTAATTAGGATTAATGTCAAGTGATGCTACGAATGGTGATGACCCAATTTCTGATGACGATACATCATTTACCACAATGACTGGGAACAAATCATTTTTAGCTCCAATTTGATTATTGTTTATAAATAAGAAGGACAGCACATGTTAATAATTAAAAAAAAAGGATAGGAATGTATTAAATGAAATATGTATGATATACATTACATTCACAGTGCGAGAACGAAATCAAGGTCCCATAGGTCCAAGTGATTCTACTGGAGTGCTCCCACAAGGTCCCAAGGACTCTGCAAATGACGGTGAGGACGAAGATGATCTTCCTCTGACAATGCTTGGTAAGAAACGTTCTTATTTTCAATTTGATAACAGTTTCAAGCCTCAAATAAGAAGGATAGCACAGATGAATCACAAAAAAAGGAAAAAGAGAAATGTATAAAATGAAATAGCTGAAAACTTAACATTTTTAGGACTTTGATTTACATTATTTTACATTCACAGAGCCAAAACAAAATCGAGGTCCCATAGGTTCAAGTGGTTCTACTGGAGTGCTACCACAAGGTCCCGGGGACTCTGCAAATGATGGTGAGGACGAAGATGATCTTTCTTTGACAATGCTTGGTAAGAAACGTTCTTATTTTCAATTTGATTATAGTTTCAAGCCTCAAATAAGGAAAGCATAGATGAATCGCAACAACAACAAAAAAGAAAGAAGCGAAATGTATGAAATGAAATATCTGAATGATTAACATCTATGGGACTTTGCTTTACAATATTCTACATTCACAGTGCCAGAACGAAATCAAGGTCCCATAGGTCCAAGTGATTCTACTGGAGTGCTCCAAAAAGGTCACAGGGACTCTGCAAATGATGGTGAGGACGAAGATGATCTTCCTATGACAATACTTGGTAAGAAACGTTCTTATTTTCAATTTGATTATTGTTTCAAGCCTCAAATAAGGATAGCACAGATGAATCACACAAAAAAAGAAAAAGAAAAAAAAAAATCATTGAAATGAAATTAGTTATATGTCCACAAATATGCTTTGAAACAGAATGCTATCACTGCAGTCACATAATAGGATTGTGTTCGATAGTGTGTGACAGCAGTGAAAGCATTTTCTCAGTCTTTCATCCTCTTACAAAAACTGGCAAAAACTTTCTTTTTTACCCGTCACCTTCACTTGCAATGTACTCAGTTATGCGTGACATTTATGATGCAGGAAAAGTATCATTGCAAAGGTGAGAAGTTCCTCCTTAATTATGTTACATTTAAATTGCCAGAATAAATGAGCTTGGAATATGGCCCCTGAAAAATTGGACTATCTTTATTATGATACGCACTTTTATATATATATTACATATTGCAGAGATGTTAGAGAGCTTTTTACTCAGATTTGGACATGACAAATATGAGCTCTTGAAAAAATGTTTTACTCTTTTAATTTCACATGGCAAGTTATATAATGAGATTGATATGTTTGTGATTACAGAGTTATCACAAGATCTGATTGAACTTGAGACATTTATGTCTATACCAGACATGCCAGGTGATGATGACGCCAGCCAGGATGACGCCATGTCAGTTGATACAGAATCAGACACAGGTAAATGGATATACTGGGGAAAACCATAAATGTGTGTCATGTATGAATAATCAATTATCATCAAACCTTACTATACAATCTGCATATAGTGTGTAAAGATTCAGGCAAGTACTTTTGATAATTAATAAGCACCAGATTGATTTTAATTTGTTAACAACTGAATATCATTGCTTTATTAGTGAAGTATTAATTTGCATTTTGATACTTTGTTCAATGGTTTTAATTTATTGCATTTCTATCTTTGCAAACACCTTTCATCTTGTTCACATTTTAAAAATCTTATATTTGTTTTAAAGATCTCCAAGTTATCGAGTCTTTGGGGGAAGTTGACAAGCATCCCGGTGACCAGTGTTGCGGCAGTCTGCATTGCAAAGGTAATGTGTTTGCAGCATGCATCAGGTGTCAGACTTTGATGTGTTTTGAACACTTTGACAAAGGTGAAGAGTGTAAATTTCATGCTCAATTTGAAAGGGAAAACCCCCCTGAAAGTTTTGTCATAGAGGAATCAGTTGGAAATGACATCAATCTTTGTTGGATACATCCCAAAATGTACCAGTCAAGACTCCTAAGTCAAAAAATCGCCTTGTTAAAGATGCTAGGAACAAAGGTAAATCCTATTTCTCTGAAAAATCTGACAAGTTTGTGGGAGGGCGAAAATTTGTAGAGTACAACAAGTGTGACTTGTCACGAAATCACAAAAAGGTTTCATGTGGTATCTTCACTGAGGAAGACAGGCGTGAAATAAGGTATGACTATTATGGAATGGGCAATCTAGCTCTGCAGAGAGAATGGATTGCACGACATGTATCTCACAAGGCCCATTCACATGTGAAAAGTCGTAAGAAACAAGACAATGAGGTATACTCTTCCTCGACCTTCTTCATTTTCTTATCCTGGAGAAATTGTCACTGTTTGTCGTAAGATGTTCCTGAACACTTTGGGAATTGCCGAAAGGCAAGTGCGAACTGTACTTGGAAAAACAAAATCTGGCACTGGTGTCCTGGGGAGGGAAAGAAGAGGTGGGACACAGAAACCTCAAATCCAAAAGCGACAAAAAAAATCATTGAACACCTACAGTGCTTCCCACGAGTGGAGTCTCATTACTGTCGCTCTTCCACAACATGCCAGTATCTTTCTGGGGAACTGACAAAACGAAGGATGTTCAATATGTTTGAAAATGAAAACCCAGGGTGTGCCTCTTACTCCCTGTACAAAGAGGTTATGAGAGAGCTCAAACTCAAATTTCATCGACCCAAAAAGGACAAGTGTGGGATTTGTGAAACTTTCCGCAAGTCTAATGAGGTTGAAAGAGACCAGATCAAAGTGAAATACAACATGCACAGACAAGAAATTTCAAAAGTAAGACAGATAAAGTCAGAGAGCAAAACTCGTGCCCAGCATGATGACAAGCATGCTGCTGCTGTGTTTGATCTGCAGCAAAACATGTACTTACCAAAATCAAATAGGGGTGAGTTGTTCTACAAGAGAAGATTAGCATGCTACAATTTTACTATTTACAATTTGGCTAATCATGCAGGAAGTTGTTACCTTTCAAATGAAACAGTAACAAGAAGGGGAGCTTGTGAGGTATATCGACATACGTCCTTGACTACCTCAGCAATTGTGATAAGGAAGGAAAGACGTCAGTTGACTTCTTTTGTGATGGCTGTGTTGGCCAAAACAAAAACTCAATTGTCCCATCGATGGTACATAGGTTTGTATCCGAGGCCAAAAGTGTGCAAGTGGTAACATGCTACTACTTTAAAACCAATCATGGCCAGAGCGAGGGTGATAGCATGCATTCCACCATTGAAAAATGTCTTGCTCGCTCTGAAGAAGTTTTCCATCCTTGCCAGCTCTCTTCTATAATCAAGGAGGCAAGAAAAGATCCATGCCCATACACAGTCAGACATGTTCAAACCAATGACATTTTGGACTGGAAGACATATGGCCATAATTTAGGTATCCTGAAGTGCAGACAGGCGGATACTGGTGAGGCAATTGATTGGACGACCTTCAAGCAGATTAGAATAAGCAAAGAACTTCCTACCTCAATTCTTTTCAAAACATCACATAATACTAATGATTTCAGTATTCTTTCACTAGGCAGATCCCGCAGCCTGCGTTCTACCACTCCTGCAGTTCACATTGATCCTCCTTCCCAGCTCTACCAAAGCAGACCCAAACTATCTGCTGGGAAGTATAGCGATCTTGTCAGTCTATGCAGAGGCACATATCCTGTCATTTCTCAACCGGAACTAGTTGATTACTATATTAATCTACCTCATGAATAGATTACAGTCACTACCATGTCCACCTTTTAACTCTACTTTTTAGGTGGTCTGTCAACGACAGATCACCTATTGTTTTCGTCAGAATTTTCTTTCTTTATTATTATTCTTTATTTTTATTTATTTCCTACACTTTTTTGTGCCTAGGATAACTCAAGTTCGGTTTCGTCAATTTCATTCAATTTTGGCACAGTCATAGGTCATTGTCATGAGACGTGGCAGGAACCTTTTCAAGGTCATCACGTCATCGTGACGTCATCCAGGCGCCATTTTGTGAAATCACGTTATCCATCATATCTTCATGATGCATAAGCAAAGGTCATTCATATCCATATCACATATATTTCAGGTCAAGGGTCAAAAGGTCATGTCATCATAGGTCACATAAAGGTCATGACGCGCGCGTACGTGCGCGTCAAAATTTAAAAATGCTCAAAATCACTTTACTATTAAAGGAGAGTACGAATTAGGTCATTTTAAGCATTTCAAAATTTTCCGTCCGTATGTGTCCACGCGCGCGTTGCGCGCGCTCACAACGCGCGGAAAAGGTCAAATTCATTTTTTTTTACATGATTTAGATTCCTCTTACCGTAAATGACAATTTACATTAATTTCAGTCACTCTTGACCTTTTATAAGGCCGTGAGCGCGCGTCAAAGTTCAAAATCCGCGCGGGCTGCTATGGGCAATATAATGCAAATTTGATCAAAAACATCCCATTTTAAAAATCAAAATAGCTCTTCAGAAAGTCAATTGACCCCAACTTTTATATCATGGTTGGAAAAAGCATGAGTTGAAGATATGATTTCATGTGTCATTTGACCCTCAATTAACTCATGACGTCATCATAATGGCCTCCAAACTCATAATTTCAATTTGCATATTATGCCGTCAGAATATTTTTGGAAAATTGATTGTATCTTTGTAAATGTTGATCAATTTTCTTCCAAATTTTGATATGTTCTACCCGAGAATATTCTCTACAAATGCGGTTATCACGATTGTTCATTTTGACAAAGGTATCATGGCGTATTTTTGCGATTAAAGGAGGCATGTCAATTTTTCACTTTTTGCGTGTATTCTCTATGGGACATGACTTTTTCTCAAAACTGGATTCTACATTCTCGTCTTTGGCGAGCAATATCTCCGTCGTTTTATCTTTGTTTACGCTGAGCTTTGAGTATGTTGTAGCTGAGACAGTAAGCTATCACAAGTGTGCCCTTTATTTTTTGATCAGATGCCGGGATCATGCTCATATTTCACTTGCGAGGTGGGATTTGAGAATTCTTATTTCCCTTTACGTGTAATCTCTATGGGAAATGTTTTGGTATATCGGTAACGTACTTGACTTCCGACCTCGAGGTCCCTGGTTCGAGTCCGGGCGTCTCCAACAATTTTTTTTCTTCACTTTTTTTTTTCTTTTTGACCTTTCACTGTACCATCTCCTTTGAATATTAAAACACGTAGAATCGCAAATAATGTAATAAACAACCATATTTACTTTATTATTACCCTATTATCACTTGATCCATTACTTTTTGCATGTTATCCTTGTGGGAGATGACTTTTTCTCAAATCTGGATTCTACATTCCTGTCTTTTGCGAGCAATATCGCCGTTATTTCCGCTTGTTTTTTGTTGATTTTTTAGTATAATGTAGCTGAAACTATATGCTATCTACATCTCCCTCATTTTTTCAATCAGATGTCAGCATGATCATCATCATCATCAATATCATCATGATCATGATCATGATTATCAACATCATCATCGTCATCATCAACATTATCATTATCATCGTCATCATCGTCATCACCATTACTATCAAGATCATCATCATCATCATCATCATTGTTTACATGTCTATATAACTTCTCCCATTCTCAAATCTATCATAAGACTTAGACAGACCACCTTATTCGTCTTTGTGACGAATTAAAGTCTAGTTGTTTTTGTTTTTGCAGGACGAGGATCACTACGTGAGTTGGACAATCATCTACATGTATAGACTTTCGATGACTGCTGGTTTGTATCATATGGTTTAAGGGAATGCTCTATAGATTTGTTTTGATTTGTTTTAAATTATTAATGCTTAGGCTGATGTCCAAACTAAAATTCCAATAGTATTGCAATGCAAGGCTGCACACTAATATTTTGCACCTTAGCCATGTTACTAGCACAGGGCTGGAATTCTTTTACACAGTTATGGGATCTAGAGTCAACTCAGTATCACTGCTTATATCACTGCTTCTATTAACTATCACTGCTTCTATTAACTATCACTGCTTTTGTCATCTTGCACACTAATATTTTTGCACTTTGGCACAGGACTACAATTCGTTGACTTGGTTATGGAGTCACAAGCCAACTTTGAAGAATTGCTCTGCCGCAAAATATACGATATTTTGAAAATACCACTGCTTATATATTAACTTGCACACTAATGTTTTGCACTTTAGTACAGGAATACAATTCGTTGACTCGGTTATGGAGTCAAAAACCAACCTTGAAGAATTGCTCTGTAACAAAATATGCAATATTTTGAAAATAACACTGCTTATATATTAACTTGCACACTAATGTTTTGCACTTTAATTAGCACAGGACTACAATTCGTTGACTCGGTTATGGAGTCAAAAACCAACTTTGAAGAATTGCTCTGTAACAAAATATGCAATATTTTGAAAATAACACTGCTTATATATTAACTTGCACAATAATGTTTTGCACTTTAGCACAGGACTAGAATTTGTTGACTTGGTTAAGGAGTCACAAGCCAACTTTGAAGAATTGCTCTGTAACACTGTTTATATATTAACTTGCACACTAATGTTTTCCACTTTAATTAGCACAGGACTACAATTCGTTGACTCGGTTATGGAGTCAAAAGCCAACTTTGAAGAATTGCTCTGCAACAAAATATATAATTTTTTGAAAATAACACTGCTATATATTAACTTGCACACTAATGTTTTGCACTTTAGCACAGGACTAGAATTTGTTGACTCGGTTATGGAGTCACAAGCCAACTTTGAAGAATTGCTCTGTAGCAAAATATACAATATTTTTAAAATAACACTGCTTATATATTAACTTGCACACTAATGTTTGGCACTTTAGCACAGGACTACAATTCGTTGACTTGGTTATGGAGTCAAAAGCCAACTTTGAAGAATTGCTCTGTAACAAAATATACAATATTTTGAAGAAGAAAAAAACACTGCTACCCTCCCTGGTCATTAGTATTGCAACATAGCTAAAATGCATGCATTTTTTTTTTTATTTTACAAGCCTTTCTGTATATTGTTATATTTCATTCATAACCATAGTGTTGTCGACAATTTGTGTATATTTTGAAAGGGAAAACTTGTCCCATTTCATTCATGAGAGCAGTAAATGATCAGACCCGGTCATTTTTTAAACAAAGGGGAGGATAACAGAACAAAGGCAAACAAAAAAAAAAAATTGGGGGGAGGTGGGGATTATCAGTGAGCGAAATCATGAAACTGTTTCATATTTCTCCCAAAACTGTTTACAGGTTTCGTTTGTATTTTTCGCAAAGAAATAATGGCCATAAGGTACCAATACAAGGGCAGAGGAAAAGGGCAACACCCAGAGAAGAAAGATTTCTTTGTGCCGTTGCTAAGGAGGATGCGCGCCAAAATCAGAGGTTGTGATTATCCAACAAAATATAATAAATGTGTGAAAATTTACTTTCAATAAACTAGTACAATATATTCACCTCTAGAAAACTAAAAATCATATTAAGCTATAAAATCCATTTTCCTCATCTATAATGAAAAACACATTTCAACTTACATGTTCATATCTATTCATCGAGAAAGATAGATTTTTTTTGTGTTCAATTGTTATAAAATGGCTTTTAAAAAACAATAAGATATAATAAGCTGAGAGTAGTGCGTGACATACGTCATAACACGTGACTGAGAGTGTTTCACAAAATAGAACTTTAAATAGATTTTGTAATGTCTTGCAAATATTCATAACTTTCTTATTTATTGTCCGATTTCCTTCAAACTTTTTGTTATCTCTTTGATTTTTCTGCTTTTAATCAAAACAAGCTTTTTCTGGAGTGGAGTTAGCCTTTAACTTTACGAAACACTTGGTGAAAGGCCACCCATGTATCATTTCTGGCCCTAATATAGCACTCAATATCAGGTTCCATTCATTCTTAAATTCATTCTTAACTTTGACAATGACTTGGGGTCATTCCATGTGGATTCACCCAACAGGTTAAACCCAACTTTTTCAAAATGTGTTGAAAAAAATTAGACACAAAATTTGAAGTTTTCTTAGCATAATGCAAAAAGAATTGTCAAAATCGGCCTAATTCTATGGCCCGTCAAATTTTTAATGTTTTATCAAAAAGGGGCGTGGCCACCATTTTTCAGACGGCCATTACTCGGCATTCGCTGGGTCAAATATCATGAAACAAGTAATATTTGAAAAGAAATTGAGTGAAGAATCCAACAAGAGCATAAAAAGTACATGCAACTCAAGAGCATGAAAAATAATAATGACCTTGAAATTTGAAAAACAATCTTTGACCTCAGATTTGACCTTGAGCCCCACATTCAATGATCTTGTTTTCCAAGTATGTTTATCAGCGAGATAATCTGTACAAAATATGTCAGGGGCAAAAAGAGTATTATACTCCTTCCCACTGTCTAATTCTACAAAGAAGCTGCTAGAATACACTACTTTTGCCCCATATACTAATTTTGGTGTTAGTAAAATGTGAGCTATTTTAAAATGCAATCTTTTGGTACTACTATATACAGGAAATATACAAACACAAATATCAATATATGGGACAACAGTTCAGTATTCTGAACAACTTCTTTGGAAATTTAGACAGTGAAGGAGTTAAATACTTTTGTTGTCCCTGACATATGTTGTACAGATTATCTTACTGATTAACATACTTCAAAATCAAGGTCATTTAAGGTGGGGCTCAAGGTCAAATCCAAGGCCAAAGATTGTTTTTCAAGGTCATTACTTTTTTTTTTCATGCTCTTGAGTTGCATATGTACTTTTTATGCTCTTGATGGAATTTTCACTCAATTTCCTTTCAAATGACATTTGTTTCATGATATTTGACCCAGCGACTGCAGAGTAATAACCCTTTTGAAAACTGGTGGCCACACCCCTCTTTGACAAAACATCTTTTTGCATTATGCTTATAAAGCTTTAAATTATGTGCCTAATTTTTTTTCAACAAATTCTGAAAAAAAGTTGGGTTTAATTGTAAAAATTTTGGGTGATTTGGCATGGAATTATCCCTTGGTGGAAAACCATTCTGGTGGAAAGTGTGCTGTCACTGAATGAAGAAAATTGGGATGAACAAACTGTAGGAATTTTAGCAATTTCTGAATGACTGTTGAAGATTATACAATTTTCAAAGTTTTAGTGATGTCCTCTTGTTTGGATCCTCGAGTTGGCAGAATCAGTGTTGTAATAGTGAACAACTCTCTATTCACTTTGTATACTGTATATAACAAATTTAAAAATGAATTACTGGTAATATCACGTCTAAAATAAGGAATCAATATGATTCTTTCCAAAATGCTAATAAGGCTGTGTTATATACCTACTTACTTATCATAAAAACAAATGTGAAATTTGGTATACAAAATCAATGGAGACTTATTTGCCGTGACGTCACAGATTTTGTCAAAGTTGCCAACTTTAACCCTAATCCCATTGGGTTATTTTGATCACTCGAGACCATTAGGGGGGGGGGGGGCCTTTTTGGCCCCCCTAAAATCTCGGCAACGAATGGACCGATTGACTGGAAAATTGGCACATACGTAAAACAAACAAGTCGAGTAGAATGAGAATTTTTAAAAAAATAAAAAATTGAGCATTATTATTATTTTTTTAATTAATTAAAATTTTGAATATGCAAATTTTTGACGAAATTGGGAGAAAATTGGGATTTTCGTCTAAAATCAAAAGAAATTACAGGATTTCTTCAGGTTTTCTGCAAAAGTACTTTCAAATGATGTTATCTATCATTATCCAAGTTTTTTATGCTGTTGAAATATGTCACTAATTTGCATAAATATGCAAATTAGTATTCCCGGATTTATACACATTGTTTTCATTCTTATGTATTCTATTGTTTTTTTGTTGTTGTTTGAATTTTGTTTAAAGAAGAATTTATCGCTCAAAATTCAACTAATAACAAAGAAATAATCCAAATTATAATTCAAATTAACAATAATAACAGATTTGGACTGAGTTTACATGGCATCGGATATAGGAATTACATAGAAACCTGTACAAAAATTACATTTTTTTTGTGACGGACGAGCAATTTATCGACCTGTAAAATCAGTTCTACAGGTCCGACCGGGGTGAATTATATATCAAAACATGCGGGAGACTTGAGAGAAAAATGTCATGAAGTTTGAACGAGAAATTCCAATCGCTCTAGATGCACGTCAAAAAAACCGACAGGGGGGGGGGGGGCCTAAAAGGCCCCCCCCTAATGGGATTAGGGTTAAGATCCCCATCAGAGGATCATTGAAACTTTGAAAACACGTAACTTTTGAACGTATTGTCAAATCTTGCTCAAGTTTTAAGTTTGTTCATTTCATTTTTCTCATTTACTGACAGGGGTAGCTTTGCCATTAAATACATAGGTACACAACTTTTTGGGAGTGACTTGACTTGTAATACTGTATAATCATGTAGAACATAGGGTCGCATACAAAATATACAGGTTAGCAACAGTTGTCTGATTTGCTGAGCTGATTCACATTTTTTTTTTTCCTTCTTCTTTTCTTGTAGATAATGGAATCACTCAACTGTTTCCCAAACTTGGGGATAAATTGAAGTTCTCCAAGCGATACAAGGAGTTCAACAAATCCATACAGGATGACACTACTGTCACACTCAAAGAGGTATTCTTCATAACTGAAAATTAAGCATGAATGGGGCTCTTATGCTTTCGTTGTCATGAGAGTGTACACGGGGGAAGCACTGAATTGGTATGTCATTACAGATTATTTCATACATTAGTAAAAGGTGGATTGTTTAACTGTGGAGTTGTTCCGTGTTTTCAAAGAGGGTGTCTTAGAACATTTCAGTACACTTGGTCCTTGAAGAGGCATTTGAACTCTGCACACAGTGATTTATTTGACCGTGATCATGTTCATCAAGTTCCATTTTATGTAAATGGAGCAGCAGCTAATGCTATTTTAGATTCAGAATCAGAAGATTCAGATGACGGAACTATTGGAGAAAGACATGAAGAGGAATTAGATGTAATCTCTTTGAGGGATATCAAAGACAAATGCTTGCAACATATATGCAATTTGAGGTCATCATCAAGCATTACAACAACTGCAGCTAACTTGGTAACAGATCTAACAAAAGATATATTGGCAGATGTTGTGAACTTTTTTAGATCCAAAGCCAAAGACACATTTATTAACCTAGGATTTGATCCTCAGAATGAAGTGGAAATTCAGTCGCTTTTCCAAGATCTACATGAACTAGAAAATCCTTTTAGAGAAGTTGATTCTGATCACAAGTTCAAAAAATTCTTAACAGAATCTGAAAAATTTGTGGTGCCAGTAGCTGTACGCCTCGGTGTCGAATACAAGCAGAGAACTAATCCTGTGACAGGTGCTGTAGAACAGACCCCAATTCAGAAGA